GGCAAAGAAAAGCATTACATTAAAAACAACAAGCAATGACAACAGTCAACGCAGATAGAAGAAGATGGATGAAATGAAATGACATTAAATAAAATTAAATGGAATAGACCAGAAATAGATTGCAGTTATGATTGACCCAAATGCAACAATAGTAAGAAAGTGCAGTAGAGAAACTAGTCAATCAAAGGCACAAGAACAGCAAAGAGTTTTTAATTAGTTCAATGTTTACAGGTGATACAACACGCCCTCTAGTGGCCATTTAGGGGCACAACAGCTCTGAGCAACAGTACCTGTACACACCTGATTCAGTTCATCAGTTCTGTTTGAAGTAACTCACATCAACAGACAGACTCTCAAAACTTCCTGTCATTCACACAGATAACGTCACCTCATCCTCATAACTATCTATGGTTAACTATGGTCATTTGTCACAGTCACAATTAATTACATTATTCTGCAAATGAATATGCAAATGTTTATTTCAGTGTCATCTAATTGTAAGGAAACAGCTACACGTGCGTTGTGAAAAACGTGGCTTTTAAACACATATCAGAGCTGCATGAACCCTCCACTGGAATTTTCCAACTTCAGTAAAATACTCAAATTTAGCCTCAAATAAAGCAGCTGATGTTGAGTTGTCTCTACAGAAGGAGCACATCCCTGTTAGTCACGAGAAAGAGGAACTACAGCAGACGGGAGTCAAAGGACCCTGAGACGTTGGTCAACAATCTGAAGGTTGTCTCTCTCTTCAGACATGATTTATGTTGTTTTCAGAATATGGAGCGTCACATGTGCTCTGCTGCAGAACACTTTGTCAAATTACACAAACAACTCACATTTAGAAGGATGTTTATGTTCATGTTTGTTTGTCTTTCTCGCTCCTCTCTCCTCCTATTCAGGTTTTTGATTTAGGTTAATAAGCCAGCGAGGCCTAATGCTGTTTGTAGTAAAAAAGTAAAACAAAAATGGGGATTATTAAGTTAACTCAACATGTTTTTTAAGTTGTTTAAAGTTCCTATTTTTATTTTTGATACACTACTGTTGAAATCCGTCCATGTTGAGCTCTAGGAGGAGTCGGGTCACCTGTGCTGTCTGGAGTCAACGAGTCACTGCAGGTGAACTCGATTAGTGCTCTTATAGGAGGAGAAACCAGCACTCTGCTCTGCTTCAACCAGGCATGTGTTCCCTTTGCTTGTTAACTTTGTCGAAAGTGATTTATCCGGTCGATCAATTTATGGCTAATTCCAGCGTTTAGTGGATGTATTGTTTGTTTGAATATCATCCAACTATTGTCAAAGCATCGATGGTTGAGTTTGATAATTAAGATGAGTAAATGCATGGAACTGATCTTTTATGTCACACATCTTTCTCTGTTTGTTAAGTCAATACAGACCCACCACTTCAGTTCATGTCAAAGTCCCTTTCTTTGGTGAAATATGTGTTAGCGTTTATATTTACATATTCTGGTTTGAGACCAGCCGAGGGCAATAAAGAGGTTCACATAGTATTTCTGATAGCTTGTTGTACTGTCAGTAAGCATGATAGTCAATTGTATCCTCTTTTTTTTAACTTCAGAGATGTCTTGTTTGAATATACAACAATGTTTTTCTTTCTCTTGTTATTTTATGTTCTTTATTTTATTTTGATGTTGTCAGATGTTTGTCTTAGATTCGATTCTGTGCACACACAAAAGCCACGTTTCCATAATGCTACTGCAGGTTCGGTTGGCTGTGAATCAGGCTCAGTCAATAACTGCTCGTTGTCACTGTCAATAATTAATGACACAATTATCTCCTGAGTAGTCTGACAGATCTGCCGTGCGCTCATTGTCGACTGCTTAGTTAGCAACCTCGTCTCACCGACTAAGCTGAACAGCTATTGATTATCTGCCTCACACCAGGGCGTCCTGCTGAACTGTGTCCAACACACCCTCCATTCATCTCCATGTGTCTGCTGATAGGCTCTCAATCTATGAATGAATGTAAGTGTGTGAAGATGCAGCCACATGACCCTTGAGCTCCTGTCAGCATTGCTTAACGCGCTCGAGATGCAGAAGAGGAAATGACTGGCATGATATGCTGAATATGCTTTATATAAGAGGCCACAGGAAGTTGGATTTGTGGTCAGAAAATTTGGGAAGTTCAGAGAGGAGTCAAAGGGAAGAGCAACAGCTGGTGCTCATGGTGGGAAAACCTTCCTCGTGGCTGGACATGAACACCAATAAATAAAAACAGTAATATATCCACTGTACACACTAAAACTATTGTAAGTCTTCACAAGATTCTAGTTTTTATAATATAACAGAAGGGTAAAATCTTCAGATTTTAGGCTCATAAAATATCTGTAAAATAGGGGATTTCTTTCATTGCTCATTGTGGTCCTTTCATGTAGATCGTGATTGTGATGTTGTGATCGTCAGAAAAGGAATCACAATCTTCATCATAAATTCATTGTTTTTCTCTTCTTTTTATATCTTTGAAAAATCAACATCTTATAGTTTTGGACTGAACAAATATTTGACATATTAACAATATAATCGACCCATTAATCAATAAGAAGAATGCGTGATTGCATCCTTATTTGCTTCCAGAAGAAACAAGTCTCTGCAGCTTTTCACTTTAATCTTTCCCTCTTTATTTTTAATTTCTCAGTTTGTATCATTTCATTTTTCATCACACTAATTCTTATCGTATTTCTTTCATCACCTCTTATATAACATCTTGTACGTCTTATATAAAAGCAGTTTGGCCTTCCTTTGAGGGTTACATGTGCTATAATTGCCTTGCGTTGAATTGTGCATATTTTTGGTGCATGTAGTTGTTTTACTTCTAGGTTATCTCAAGCTGTGGGTCAATAGTTTAAAGAACAATTTGGTTTCTCAACTCATTCATCTGAGCAGTGTTTCAGCCAATTACTGGTCAGTATGTTAGAAATGGAGAGTGTAAATCCACCTTAATGGCTGACTTTAATCCTTATGATGTAGATTTATGCAGCGCTGAGATGTTATCGCACTTCTCTGCTGTATTTATCATTTGACGAAATATAACTGAAACCTCTGCTCTTCACTGTTTACAGACTGTGTCAATCAAAAGTGGTAAAGAACCAATTTTACTGAGATCAAACTCCCATAAAGCAGCTTCAGTCTGCACTTATCAGAGGGAATGATGCCAGACGGTCTCAAAGCTTCCCTCTGTGTCTCCGGACGCTCTGAAAACACAGTAACACAAGAAACATCCGGAGCCGATAAACACAATGACCGCAACACATGAGTCTGGTGGTTACGATCGCTATCCTCCACACAGCATCCCAAAGTGAGGAAAGGAGAGAAGGGAGGGAAAGGAAGAAGGAATGAGTGCAGAGGAGAGGAGAAGGGGTGTTCTTTCAGTTTAGGTTTTCTTTTCCACTTCCTCTGATAACAAGAGAAATCTCTCCTCTCTCCTTTTACATCCTCTCGTCTCCTTCTCTCTGCTCGCTCAATGATTCATTTAGAAGTGGACACTTAACAAGCATTACTGACCCACACGTCCCCAGAGAGCTCGTGGACACTCCTTATGATAATGATGAAATATACTCCTTTGTTTTAAAGGAGTTATAAGACAAAGAGACCAACATTTAAAAGTGAAATATTGTGCATTCATTTCAAATTGCATGTCAGGTTTCGTCATTTTCTTTCAATCAATGCTTATAATCTTTAGAATACATCATTTAAGGTAACGATGTGACACATAAAAGTATTTTTAAATTAGTTTTTTTATATATATATTTTAATAGCTCAGCCCACTTTGTGAAAAGGCTGCATGAGTAAGTTACATTTGCCATTTAACGTTTTTCCAGGACTCTATTTTTAATGAAGTGACCCAGTAACCCCAATAAAAGCTCCACTAACCCACACAGCACTATTGTGCCACTGAGCCATTTATAGTTTTACACCCAACAATCTTTCTTTAATCGACTTTCAGTCAATAATCCCCCAGTTCATGATGGTCTGTGGCCTCTGTGTTCACCTCCACGGTTCGACCCTGCACCTACCTGGCTTCAGGCCACTCCTAGACCACTTTGAACCAGCAGAGGGCGCTCCGAGCCCGTTCAATCCCCCCCCCTCCTCCCTCCCCATCACAGCAGAGGAGGGCACCTCCATCCAAACTGCGGTACCCATCTGATTCCTTTAATTGCTTCCTTCCTGTAGTTAATTGGTGCCAATCTGTCCAGCCTCAAAACCCAAGCTACATTTATACTGTCAGGATCACACGCACACACATTATGTCTTATTGGTGCATGTTCATTTATACATGCAATTATTGAGTCTGTCCTGCTTGTTGAATTCACCTGTTTTCAGCCAATTCAGAGCTGTCAGTGCCCGCAGACAGATCGAGGTAAGCTCCTGTACCTGTGAGCTTTGCGTTGCAGTATCACTGCACAAATTGTGCAAACCTGGCATGCATTATGTATTGCAGACAGTCGCTTACATTTGGGATTTATAAAAAAAAAAAAAAAGCAAAGTTGTTGTGTGTGCAAAAGCAGGTTAATCACTCTACTTTAAGTCAGTAGATCTCACTTATTGGATAATAACAAAACGTGCAACAGCTTTCATGAGATGTTTGGGGGTATTTTAGGCGGGGTAGTAGTACAATAACTCGTCCTAATTACCACCTACTACTACTCGCATTAGTATTGTTTGCATGTTTCCCGTCAATGGAAGCTGTACTCTACTATGACCCCTCCCACTTCTTCCCCGAAATAGACCCGCGTGAAGACAAAATACACAATCTAATGACTAAATAAACCGATGAAAGCACGCGTTTCGAGTTCAAATCAACCCTCGTGTCGTGTGGGGATTATTTCCGGCGATAGATGCGAGAAATTAATTCTAAATATCCGACATATTCAAGACCGGCGAGTGTTTCGCGGGAAAACGAGCGGAGGGATACAGCGGAGGAGCGGAGTGGGTGAGTGCTGCGGTCGTTTTTATTGCAGCCGGCGGAGCTCTCAGCTGTGATTCTCACGCTGCTGATGACAGACTGTACTTCGTCCTCACCGGGTCGCTGGTGCAGCCACTCAACTCCTCATGCATACTCCACGCAGCCTCACAGAAACCGCCTACAACGCCTCCGTGGAAGGATTTAATGTTACGTTCGTGTTGGAATAACTTTCCTACCCTTTTTTGCGCCTCTTGGGTCGCTTTCGCCCCGTCTTCTACCGCCGACAGTTTACAATCGAAAAGGTAAGGGGAGGGGAGTGGGTTTCTGGATCTTTGCACGGCACCTTTCCACGTCAGTTTAGTAAAAAATAATTGAAAAAAAGGGTGTTGGTTTATCGTCTGTAGCAGTTAAGTGAAGGTGTTTCCCCTCTTGCACTTAATTTACTATCAGTTTCGCACCTGCTGCTGCAGCACCGGTGCATGCATGCAAGGCGTGCAGACGAGCGTCGATGTTTTGGAGTGACCATGTGATGTTGTTACACTTAATGTTGCAGGACCAGTGCCAAGCCAGCTGCTTTGAACCTGCAGACCATCTATTTATTTTTATTTTTTTTTATTTATTTTTTTTTTTGCTTTTTTAGAGTCAACATCTAATCAACCATTTGTTTTCCTTTCAACCAGCTTCACGATAAGGAAAAAGACAACGGAGACAAAATGCCGCTGAATTCAAGTTTCGCAAGTAAAAACTATGACTACGATTACGACTCTCTGCAACCGTATTTCTACTACGACAACGAGGAGGAGGATTTCTACCCTCAGCAGCTTCAGCCTCCGGCGCCGAGCGAAGACATCTGGAAGAAATTTGAACTGCTGCCGACCCCTCCCCTCTCCCCGAGCCGCCGGCCGTCCCTGTCAAGCCTCTTCCCCTCCACGGCGGATCAGCTGGAGATGGTGACCGAGTTCCTGGGCGACGACGCGGTCAACCAGAGCATCATCTGCGACGCGGACTACTCCCAGACCTTCCTCAAGTCCATCATCATCCAGGACTGCATGTGGAGCGGCTTCTCCGCCGCGGCCAAGCTGGAGAAGGTGGTCTCCGAGCGGCTCGCCTCCCTGCACGCCGCGCGTAAGGAGTCCTCGTCCTCGGTGGGCGACTGCTGCGCGGAGCCCGCCGGTGCGGCAGCGTGGCGGCTGAACAGCAGCTACCTGCAAGACCTGAACACGTCCGCGGCGGAGTGCATCGATCCGTCCGTGGTTTTCCCGTACCCGATAGCGGAGACGCCCAAGCAGAGCGCGGCGACGCCGCCCAGTAAGGATTTGGGACTGGACACGCCGCCCAACAGCGGCAGCAGCAGCAGTTGTAGTGACTCAGGTAAGCTACGGACCCATCGTGCAGACACACCCCTCTGTGTAGTTAGGAATCTCCCTCTGCTGAGTGAGCATTGTTTCCACTAGTTTTGACTTAAAAGCGGCCAACTCTTGCTTTGATTAAGGTTATTTGCAATCAGATTTCCAGACATGTTGGACTGCTGTGAGATTAGCTCCAGCCATCTAATGATGTTGAAGACATTGTGTCCCCCCTCCCTCTGTGGCATGCAGTGTGATTAAAAGGCATCCTTGACGCTGAATCAGAGTGTGATTGTTTTGTTTTTCTGTCTTGCAGAAGATGAGGATGGAGATGAGGACGACGACGACGACGATGATGATGATGATGAGGAGGAGGAAGAGGACCAGGAGGATGAGGAGGAGATCGACGTGGTCACGGTGGAGAAGAGGCAGGCGGTGAAGAGGTGCGACCCCAGCGCCGCGGAGACCCGGCACCCCAGCCCGCTCGTGCTGAAGAGGTGCCACGTCTCCACCCACCAGCACAACTACGCCGCCCATCCATCCATGAGGCACGAGCAGCCGGCTGTCAAGAGGCTGAAGCTGGAGAGCAACAGCGGTGGAAGTGGCGGCCACAGCAGGGTCCTCAAACAGATCAGCAGCAACCGCAAGTGCTCGAGCCCGCGGACGTCTGACACGGAGGACTATGACAAGAGAAGGACTCATAACGTTCTGGAGCGTCAGAGGAGGAACGAGCTCAAGTTGAGCTTCTTCGCCCTGCGGGACGAGATCCCAGAGGTGGCCAACAACGAGAAGGCGGCCAAAGTGGTGATCCTGAAGAAGGCCACAGAGTGCATTTACAGCATGCAGACGGACGAACAGAGACTCCTCTCGCTCAAAGAACAGCTGAGGAGGAAAAGTGAACTTTTAAAGCAGAGACTCGCGCAGCTGCAGAGCTCTCGCGCCTAAAGTTTGAATCGTCAGACTTTTTGGCCTTTTGTTTTTTATGCAAGTTCAAGACTTAGGGTGTACAGTTGTTGTTGAATGCAAAGCGGATTAAGTTGTTTGGAATCTTGTTTGATTTCAATGTTGAAACTGCCTCAATTGAAGTTATGGGTGGATTAAATATTTAAAAGTTTATTTTTATTAATAAAATATTAAAAAATGGAGCTATCCTGTCGAGGGCCCAAACTAAAATATAAATTTTTATGTTTTGTATATAATTAATATTTCCTAAGAAAATGTATTTTTGGATCTCAATTGTCTGGATGTTCAGACTCGGTGTTTGGTTTTTTTCCATTATGTTCCTAGATTCTTTTTGAAATATAAAAAAATGTTTCTTCTTGAATTTGTGTCCTTGTTCTTGCAATGCAGACGCACACATCGCACGTTTCATCACAGACACATTAACATGTATTGGAGGTGCATGTTGCTGTAGAGTGGGCTCAGCAGGAGGAGACTCGTATGATTTGATTAAAGTGACTAAGATGCTCATGTTTTAGATAATGATGCTCCAAGTCACTCACTATGACTATAAGGCTTAACATGACTCACTTGAAGATGCGATATTTGACGGTGTCTCGGTTTTTGTTTGCAAAGACGACACGGTAAACTCGGACCATGGTCTCAGATTTATGCATAAAGCCTTTCGAATAGCACATTTTAACCTAAGTGAGTGCTTGTTATTGAAGATATTTCAATATTTCTGATAAAGTGAACAAAAGTCACTCAAAACTGTCATCGCTCAGTTTTGTGGACAGAAGAGGGAATTCAGATATTTAAATTAGACGAGATTTGCTTTCAATATGCATCAAACACGTAAAAAGAAACATGACTCTCAAAGACTCAACCTCCTGCATGGTTTTCTTCTTGAACATTGTTCTGCTTCCTGTGTGTAAGTACATTATAAGCTACTTCAGATTCCTTATGTGATTAAACTATACTCGGGCAGTTAGTGATCAAATAAAACTCAATTTCACATCCCAGATCAGATTTAAATGAATAAAAAAGATATGTGAAAACAAAACAGGTTGGTTTACAGTTTCAAACAGATATATGCATGTGCAGACAATCTAAACAGTCCACATGAGGGTTTTTTGACAATTCACTACTATAAATTAAGATATTAGACAAATATAACTATAATTTACTGGGACTATCAATAGAAATGTATCGATAATATCCAATAAAATACTCTAAATGACCTCCCAGTGAAGTACCACATTCAGTTAAGTCTCTATATCAGGTATTATATCGTATATAATCATAAAATATCGGTATTATTGTTGACATTGCGCCGATTCTTTTGACCGGCTTTCCAGTCTCTCCGTGACGTCACGCGCCGTATCCCCAGCGCTCCCATGAGCGCGTGGTCCTGGTCGCGAGCACATGGAAGTGAGGTCGAGATTTGTGTCTGTGAGACGCGCGACTGATCATCAGAGGGAGAGAGAAAAAAAAGAAAGGAATATAAAAAGCGACGAAGCAGCAACGAACGCTAAGAACGAAGCGGTAAGAGTTCTTCTGTCGATTGCATTCAATCGTTTAAAACTATTTGTTTGATCACTCTGATTAATGGCATTGTAAAAGTAAAATCTCTTTATCTCTCAAAGTGTCTGATGCAAAACTTCATTTGAAGGAGTAATAGTCGCTGTGGAGATCCCAACGACTTTAATGGGATGTGAATATAGAACCAGTCAGAAACTATTGTTCTCAGGACAACTGTTATTTTCCTCTGGCTTCTCTATTGTCTGTCCAACTCCTGTTAACACTGCTGGAGATGTTAGCATGCATGTTCTGTGAGTCTATTGTCTAGTGTCTTTATATTAGGCTACTGTATACTTGCCAAGCCTTTTATTCTCCAAAGAGCACAAAGTGTGGAGCTGCTTCTGGCATTGTTTTATCTCTGCTGTCAGTGTGATAGTGCAGTGATCACAACAAAAGATGATAAAAGGCATCTGTGATAGCGTCTGAGACTGCTCACGGCTCCCTAATCCTGAATGCACGAGCTATCTGACGTGGAGCTTGTTTGTGTGCCACAAAAGGAGATTTCTAAACGTATGTGTTTGTTTTATTTCCCCCTGGCCTGTGAATGCATATAAAAGGCAGTTAAAGCAAGAGGTGGTGGAGACGTGAGGTGCAGCCGCACTGAGACACATTGGAGGACCACAAAAGATTGGGATTAGTGTGGATTCATTGTGTTGGACTTTCTGGGTGGGCAGGACAGTGTTTTTTGTGAGCAGGGAGAGTGTGCTGTAACTGGCTGACCTCGGGGGCTCGAGCCTCCATGACAACGTGCATCCACCCTCCTGGAGTTTTTGTCCAGGAAAACACTGAAACCTTGTGAGGAGAGCTGATGTAATTTAACCAGGATCATCAAAAGACATCAACAGGGAGGCGGTTTTTACGTTAAAGCTTGATTTGTGGGGGAAGTGAACGTTTGTGCGTCTTGGTTACTAATAACCGCTGTTTTAACAACAGTTCTGTGGCTGCCTTTCACTCTCGCGTCAGAGTTTACCCCAGTTTTCCCTCTGACATTTACATGTCTTTTCCCCTGCTAAACACCCACAGACATTATGATCACTGGGTCAGCGAGAGCATCTGGAGAGCCTTTGTTTTTTTGCAAAATGAGCCACAGTAATTCACCTGCTTGCATAGATGATCTATTGAAAACTGCTCCTGCTAATATTTTATGTGTTGCAACATGAATCGAGTCTTTTCAAGTCCAAACTGGCTCAGCAGCATCAGGTAGAAGATCTATTGTATACTGTCGACCTGCCTGATCTGGAGGTGGCGGAAAATATTCCCACTTAGTGCCTCTAATACTGCGGTGGAATGTAACTAAGTACATTTACTCAAGTACAAGGTTAAGTTACTTGTATTTTCTTTTCATGCTGCTTTCTACCTCTAGTAAACGATATCTCAGAGGGAAATATACTTTTACTTCACCGCAGGATCTGAATACTTCCTCCATCACTGCTCTAATGTATTAGTGTTGCATTCAAGTCACAGAGTTTTAAGTGTCCATCTAACTTAAAAATGAATAAGCATATATAAAATCTCAGAAGGTGGTTTAACAGCTCTGAAAGTTTTTCTAGAATCCTCAAACACTCTTTTAACCATATGGAAGAAAAATAGTCTCATCTGCTGCACAAAGAAAAGGATTATTAACTTGTTTCCTCTCCAGGGAGCCACTTGCTGCCATCTTTGTTTGGATCGGTAAAGTGCAACTTAGAAAACCGGTTCCAAATCTTTTCCATAGTTAATCCGTCCTTATTTATCTTTAAGATAAACCAATGCTTGACTCTGCTCACACACGGGAGGCACAAACATGGGGCTCGGCTGCAACACACGATCACTGTCAATCAATCTGGTGATGAATTCAACTAATCATTTAGTTTGGTAAAACGTGAGAAAGTAGTTCAATAGGAGCATCCTTTTCACAAATGTCTTATTTAACACAAAGATACTCATGTAAAAGTGCTGTAAAACTGAGAGAAAAAGCAAATCCTCACAAAATACTTACCATTTTCTCTACTAGATACTTGTTCTCCTCACTGGATTTGGTTTTGCAGTAAATGTCGTGTACGTTAAAGTGTATCTCAGTGTTTTCCAGTCGAATACGCTGAGCCAAACGTCCCTGCCTCGCCACAGCGACTGCACACATACTTTTCGGATACTTTAGGGGCCCAGGAAGACTTGGAGGTCGGCTGTTATGTAACCTGCGTTTTCCAGAGCTGGAGTAGATTAAAGCGGTTCATACTGCAGCCACTCGCCAGCTAGACTTCTCTCTCCTGGCTGCGTCTCGTTTTACTGCGTCACTGTTATCACATGACATCACTTTCCTCTTTGGGAATACACGGCCTCATTTGCATGCTCTGTCTCCGAGCCATCCGTGTGTTTTTGTTGCCAGTGACGACCTGTGTTTGGCTGTTTTTAATTTTACCACATGAGAGTATGTTGCTGAGGAATGTGACACGTGTGCTCTTGAATGCAACACCACCACATGCTTTACTTGGAGCTGAAGTTTGATTTATTTTGTGTGTGTGACAGGAAATATAAACTATCATGATACTGCAGCTATTGAAAATATCTTTTTATTTTATCAAACCTTTTTTGGACATATGTGTGTAATTAGTATGTTGATTCAAGCACATATACGTTGCCCGGGTTAGCAGTTTAAACTGTCAACCTTCTGAAGGACACATTGTGCTGTCATGTTTGTTATATCACTCGGAAAGTGGAAGCTAGCCAGCTAGGCTAACTAGCTTCCAATCGGAAGAAAATACTAATGGGAAGGAGGAGGATTAGCTAGCTAGAGCTAGCTGTCTCGCTTGAATCGAGAGTAAGAGCGCCAGTCACTGAAACTAATTTTATATAGTGGCCAAACCGTGTTCGGGTCTGTCACGTGATGCTATGGGTCCCAAAAATACTTTTTCTCATAGACGTACATTGGGGAAAGAGACGTCTGTAAATCAGTGGATCATTTTTTTGAGGAACACTTGAATAGCCCTTACTTAAATCATCAGGTCCTTTTCACAAGTCCAACATTTAAATTTTAAATACTCATTCTATGTCTTCCTAATTCAGGTAAAAGCAAGGCTACAAATCATGACATTTTTAGCTTGTATGGATTGGTGGACACCTTTTTCATAACTTTCATTTCTCAGATTTAAATAAGTAAGAAGGCCTTTGTGCTGTTTAGAGCCTCTGAAAGAGACCATTTGGACCAGTGGTGTGGGGCGCTCACAGCCATGTCTGGCTCTTATATAACAGTATTGGTCCCTCTGGTGAATGATGTCATTGGCTAACCGCATATGCTTTTATATAACTTGCTAAAGAAAGGGGGGGGGGGGAAAGTATACATTCGAAACTCTAATTCGGAGTACCTGCATACTGTAACACTACTGTGTATTACCTTCCCTCCCAGCGGTGTAGCGTTCACTTTCAACCACCTTGATCTCATAGAAAGTCTTTTCTGACGAGCCTTGCTTGTGCCCTATGTGACAACTTTGTATAAACTTTCAGCCCTGAATGCTGGAGCTGGTCAGCCCTCTCTTTCCTCTATTTGCATGCCGGCGACGTCGCTGCATAGCAGAGTGCTTTTGTCATGTGCAATATTGTACCGCTGATCCTCATCAAAGCGGGACGCTCCGGCTGGATTAGAGCTAATTCTCCCGCAGGAGCTCTCCCGTCAGCATGGTGTGTGCAGACCTCCACACAGGAGGCCAAGAGGAGGGCACAGTTCTGGGAAGTCCTGGTGGAGGTGAGGAATGCTGCAGTACACAGCAGATACAGTTGTATATGGAAGGAAGGTCAAATGTTAAAGCAATCATCTTCCGTATTTAGCAGTAAATGACTTTCCATTCATGTCACATTTATTGGTGTAAAGCAAGGAATCTGTGGCATGTGTGAAAT